ATGATACGTCGTTTTCGATCGATCAACGACGGAAACGCGCGAGAGATGAAAATCGACACGCGACTTTGAAATGTTGCTCGGTTACCACGAAAATCTAAGCGCATTGTTATTTTGTATGGTTCCATGCGTTTTTTCTAAATGACGACGACGTCGTAACACACGATAACCGGTGGTGATTAATAAAAATAACTTGAAGCACACGCGAACACGACGCACCGTCGGTTGCTGGGAACCTGGCACTTGTGACGCGACAGGGGCGTACACGGTTGCTCCGAGAAATCCAATTGCGAGTCTAGAAACGGCTTTTCGCGCTCTTTGTCGCGTGACTCAGCTAGTCATGTACCAGAGCCGAAAGTTCGCGTGGGGAAGGCGTGCACCTTCGAATCCGACCACTCAGACGAGAGTGCCAGGTCGCCAGCAACTGACGGTACTACCTTTTCGATCCTCCGATTCAGATCGTGCCCGGATTCCCGAGCGCCAACCCGTTCCCACGCGATTCGAACCTTCTCGTTCTATACAGGCTTCGTCGATGTCGTTAAAAGATTACTGAAATCTATCGTTCGTGAAGTCCACGGTAACGATACTCGCAGAACTTGGCTCGGCTGCAGCACGTTCCCGAAGATTTACATGACCAGCCGCCGCCGCCGCCGCCGCGTGAAATTCAATCGATGAAGTTCCTCGGTGCGTCGCATGTCCTCGCGCAAAGCTTTTATCCTCAGCTGCAGCTCTTGAATCCCCATTTCAGCGATCTTCACCTTTAACCGCTTCTCCTCCGTCTGCAACGCAAGATTATCGTCCCAGCAGGATTTCGGTTTATCGTCGAGCTAATTGAAACCTGGCGTCTCGAACCTCGAGCTGCTGCAGAAGCAACTTGTGCTTCAGCTGGTTCCGGTAATCGGTCAGGAAAACGTAGCTCTTCCTTGATCCGAGAGCATCATGTTTCGCGTCGGAGTGTTTCCTTGGGACGTCAGCCGCGTTCTTTCCTCGATTCTCGACGGAAGCTGGTGGATTCCCTTTCAAGAACTCGTCAGGATGTTTGCCGCACGGCGAATCCTTCTCGGTGCGCTCGAGCGAACGACGTTCCCCGTAACTCGCTTGAGAATATTAGAAATATATCGGCAAAATATCGATCGTTTCGCGACAGACCGGATAAGGCAGCGGTTTCTTTCGCAGACGGAGCACGCGTTCGAGCAACGTTCCGCTCGTAACGGAAATAACGATCGCTTTACAGCCCCTCGCCTGCGTCGGCGTTACTCACGCGTAAATCCGAATCCGCGCGATCGTTCCGTTCCATTGTATCGCGCGAGTTGGAACGACCTTCCCAGGTGCGCTTCTGTTCGCCAGCCCGCCGTAAAGCGATCGCTAAAGTCCAAAGAGGAAACGCGCGACGGCTCTCCGCGCGAGAAGAAAAACGCCTGTTACTTACTTGAGTCGTTCAACGGCACCGTATCCGAATGCGATTCGTGCGTTTCGTCGAGCACGCTTCTCGAGACGCGTTCATTGTCCTCGGGATAAAGGACCGACACGGTAACGCTGTTGTTCGAGATCTTCGCGTTCGACACCACGATCCGATTCTTCGTTTTACGTTGATCCTTGCCAATTTCGCTTCTCTCGTCGAAATCGCCGGTTGCGAGATCCGTGTAATCGTTCGAGGCCCAGTCCTCATCCTCTCTTTCCGTCTTGATTCGCGAGCTGTCTTAAGATCGAACGTGCACACCGGTTAATATTTATCGTCGCGTGGAAACGACTGTCGCCTATCCTCTCGGAAACAACGGATACTCCGGCGAGAAAGAAAACGAGGTACCGATCACGTCGTCCGAGGAATTCGACTTCCAGAACGAACGAACGCTGTCCTCGCAGGTTTCGATGGTTCGGCGTCTGGATCGGATCGGGGAGCTCACGGGACGATCGGTTATCGGCGCAGGAATTTCCGGAAATTTCGGCGTAGACCGATGTTCCACTTTGATCCGGTGTCGATTCCATTCAGGGGACTCGCTCGTCGCCGACGACGAATTCCCGCACTTCTTGCTGTCCTGCGGAACGATGGATTGGGGAAGTGAATCGAAACGGGAGAACACGAGACGCGGAGACGACTGTTCGCGTTGTAAATACCTTTCCCATTGCCTTGGCCTTTTTGCAATGGTACTTGTAGTTCTGCCAGTACTTCTTGAGCTGCGCGGAGGTCTTCCGCGTGAAGCCCATCTGTTTGAATTCGTTCTCGATGGTCGCCCAAATCTTCCTACGGGCCAGCGTCGAGGTGCTCTTGTCCAGCAACGGGGCGTATTGTTTCATTAAGGACAATAAATGAACCCGTTCCTCCTTATCGAATTGATTCTTCTTTCTGTCGGTCTCCGGCAAATTACGCCGCATTCTCGGGGAATTCTATCGGAAACCGATGCGAAGTCCGACGATGAGTGCAGGTCGTATATCGATTCCGCTCGCCGGCGATCTCAGGCTTTCCCGCTGACTCGGCTGAGCTGGCGAAGCTCCGTTTCGATTGGAAAGCTGCGAAAACCGAGGCTTAAGACCGTCACGATCGCTTCGAGTCACACAGTCCGTCTTGACGGAAGCACGGCTGCTTTTGTTTCAACAAAAAAGGCCGGCGAGAGCGATTCGCTCTTCTTTTCCTTCGCGTCACGATCGAGCCTCAGTAGCTTTGCCCGACTTTTCTACGTGCGTCGTAAAAACAGTGGACGCTCGATTCGTACCTCCCGATGATCTCTGGCCCCAAACGCGTGGCGTGGTTCACACCACTGAATCCTCCGGCGTCGATTCCAATTTCGATTCCGAGGAGATCGCCGTTCGAAGAGATATTCTAAAATTCCATTTTCCTGGAAAGAGAGCGTCGCGTTCGCACTTCTTTCATTTGCATCAAATCGAACCGCATAATTTGTAAACGGACAGCTCGAAACGGATGGCCCATTCCTCACGAGAAGAGCAGCGTCGTTATTCCGTATTTGTACACAGCCTCCGCTGCGGCTGTGAATTACCCGTAATTATATACACTCGAACCTCTCAACTTTCTACCGTTCAAATTTCGCCGCATCTCGTTTGCGATCGTTGCCTCGATGTGTCGTCGGTTGCGCAATGTTTACTCGCGGCACGAGCGGCGACCAGCCAGTTCGCGTAATCCACGCGTGTCTCTCATCATGGAACCTCGGAAAAATCACGGTTCTTCATCTTCATCGACAGAAAAGAATCTTCGTTCGTGTCGCGACTGCAAACCTCTGACGTCATCTCGCGAGTTTCTTAATCGCGTAAACTCTCGCAGAAATCTATCTCGCTCCCGTGACCGCATTGGGAGAACCAGTCGAATGGTCTAGAAAACCGCGAACGGCCGCTGAAAATATGGAAACACGATTTCGTTATACGAACGTCGGATCTGCGAATCCGAGCGAACCGGACGCGATCGGGACCGAGCCAATTAAAATTGATTAACGCCTCGTATTCGTTCATTCCAATGTACGCTCGTTAATTTCCCACGGGACAACGTTATCGTTTGCCTTCGTTATCGCCGCGTTCGACGCGGAGCGGCGGCCTGAACGCCGTCTCGCGGCGAACAGCGTTTCCGGTTCTCCTCGCGAGAACGATCACGCGTCGGTCGCGAACTCTGGATCGGCGATCGCGTGTACACGTGTAAAGTGCTCGCTTACATGGCCGTGTGTCGCAGCTCCGCTGTCCCGATAGCTACCTAACGCAGACGGCCACGCGCAGACTCCTCTTTAATTGATAATTCCGAGTTTCTAGGTGGAGGCGTAGATCCCGCCTCTGGCGCACCGCCGGCAGCCGGTTAACCCATTAAGGAACTGCAACCAAGAGCATCCGATGATTAATGGATTATCTCGGGGCGGTTACACGCGGCTTTCTCGCGGATCCTTCGAACTCCAACGAGCAACCGTTACGCGCGAACATGCTTCTCATCGAACCGCTAACATGCTCGCATTCCGGATTTGAATAAGTCATAATCCCATTCTTCCGAACGTCGACCGCGTTGTCTGCGACGGAATACCGCGACCGCGGAGCGACATTCGAATTACGTCGCGTTTCGAACGTAAGTCGCGATTAACCGAGGTGCGAGAATAGAAATTCGATCGCAATGATGCTCGCCGAACCGTCGATGCACAGTGCGACTAAATGGCCGTTTTCTGGACAAAATTCGACGACTTGAAAAGTATACGTGTTTCGACAAAATACTTCATACAAAAGTTGTAAGGCAAACAGCTGAGCATATGGTGGTTATATTTTTGTTTACGTTATGGGGATATTATGAAGTTTCTCCAATGACAACGGACACTTTGCCTTTCGATTCCAACATTACATAGATAGAGAAACAGAATTTGGCACGAAATTTTGGTTTCTGAAATACTCATTTTGTATAGCAGGGGCTACTTAGCGACAGATTGATAACCCTCAATTTTCGTTATCCGTACAATCGAATTTCGGGGTTCCGTCCACAGACGGCCGCACTGTGCTACGGTTCGAAATCCTTGCGCGCCCGAGCCGCCGCCGCGTAGAAAGTTGCCAGATTACCAGACATCGAGCGCTAGGAATAGTTATTAAAAGAAACGGTTGAAAATTCACGGGAAGATGGGCTTCCGGAAAAGAGAGAAGCGCGCCGCTGTTTCAGGTTGTTATTACGGTAAAAGCGTTTGTAATTACGCGGTCTTAACTCGAATGTGATACGAGTTCCGAAGTGGATCGCTGCCGCCCCGCGCGATCTCGTCCGCGAACGATTTCGCGAACAAACGACTGACGTTTGCGTTTCGCGTGTTAATATTTTCATACTTCCAACGGCCGTTCGCGGTTTCCCCGACCGCTCGACTACTCCGCCAATCCGGACATGAGACCCAGATAGATGTCTGCAAGAGTTTACGCCATTTAAAAGGGAACTCGCGGGATGACGTCAGAAATTTCAACGAGGTGGAAATCGAATATCGATGGTCGTCGCAATTGGAGAATAGAATAGGATGGAAAGGCTGGGCTGGATCGATCGGGCGCGCATCTTTTAATTAAACAAGTTAGTTCGGAGGTCTCGGTGAAGGTGGCACCGTTGACTCGGAGCGTATCCGAAGCAGCGAACGTCGACAAGTTCGGTTTCTGCCTTACTGATGGGAATCTGTTCCGCCCCCGTGTTTTCAAACGTTACATTTCGAAATTACGCGTTTACCTTCCTCCCACTGCGAGTCGAACGTATCCACGTTGCTCCCCGATGATTCCCGGATCGTAGAATCGAGAATAGCGGTTGAAACGTTGCTCCCACGTAGTACCGCCGAAAAAACGAAGATCGGGAATCCGATTGCGTTCGCGTTCCCCGAGGGCTCGGATCTTCAGAGTTTTGCGCAACATTATTGAAATGTGTAATAAGTTAAACTTAACCGTAGGATCGTATACAGGAGTCGCAGAAACTATTCGCTGCGCGACTTTCTCTTCAACGTCTTCTCTTTGGCGTTTACGTCTCCAAAGGTCATTTGGTTCTGGGGCTTCTCCGTCGTTTCGTCTATCGCGTGGCCTTCCAAAAGCTGTATCCCGCCGTGTCGGACCGCCGAAAACGCCGCAGCTCTCCTGTATAAACTTAAAGAGAAATGTTAACCTCCTGAAAAATTCGCGCCGTTCGCATCCGGTGTTCCCTATGTTTTGCCCAACGCGAACGCGAGGATAGCTCTGTGGAACTCACGCATGAAAATCGTCTCGCTTCGCGTTACAGCCGCGAGATATTTATGGAAGCATAAAATCTCGTTCGCGAAACGCAGCTTCCACGTTTCTACGTTTCAGGAATTTCATTCATTTCGCGTTTCGCATTCCGTTTCAGCTGCGTAGCTCGCCGAGCAACCGATTCCATTCCCTGTTATTTTCTCATTAATCCGCCTAATACGACCAGTTCGTGATTACCGTGCAAGTGCCGCAGTATTTTAAACTGCCGTTTCTTAAGCGCGGATTTTTAGTGCCGCTCGCGGAATTTGTTTGCCGGGGTTTGTCGTGGTTCACCAGCGGCACAACCGCGCGCATTCGTTTCGGTTCACCGTTCTCCTTCTCCGACCGGATCTGTATCGATGCACCGAGGATTCGCTCCGCGGCTGGCGCACAACCCCTTCGAAATCGAAAAAACATTTCGAATTTTACGATCGAGAAGCTCCTGCGAATTTGTATGACACGCAACTATCCTGACATCAGTTTCAATTGACTCTGCCTCGATCGCGCCCGCTTTGCTCGGATTCGCGAATCCGACGTTCGTATAACAATGTCGTATTCTCGTATTTTCAACGGTCGTTCGTGGCTTTTCAATGATCATCGATTATCGTCGAGAAGTACACGGACGCGAAAGAAAGTGGAAGAGGCGGAGGACGGTCCGCGTGTTTCAAATATCGAAGACGCTGTAACTTTCCTCGAGGCTCCTAATTCATTCGTCCTACACTAGGAAAAGTATCGTCGCTCCTTGTAAGGGTCGGCAGCAATAAAACCTGCGCCTCCATCGCGCTTCAACGTCATCTTGATTGCACCGAACGTGATCTCAACGGTTGCCATTGTCCCGCGAATTTGTCGGCGTTTCTTCCACGGGAAGAAACCGTCCGACCGATTCGGAGACGTTTCGTTTGTCGGCGTATCGTTATCGATACCCTGTACACCCGCGGCCCGCCGATCGGCGAGACAACGCGTAATTACTGTCGCTTGCGACAGAAAAGAAGCAAAATAATTCTTCGATGCGACCGACGATTGTCGCGTCGAAACTATCGTTGCGAGCAATCGCCGCATTAATTGTTCCTTGCGTAATTCCAGCCAGCCGAGTCAAGACGAAATTCTCGGGTTCCTCCGCGGAAAACCTCTGCTCGATCCGAGCACGCATCCCGGGATGAAATTTTGTCGAAATCTTTCGATAACTCGTTCCTTCGCCGAACACAATCGCGGCCCACGCACGTGCTCGCTTCGCGAACACGCTGACCGCCGCCGAACGGGACCGATCGAAGTCCAGGAAATCCAGGAAATCGAACGAATCCTCGCGCGACGCGCAACGGCGACGTTTCGTGCGAGCAGTTTTTTTCCAAGGTTCCTTGGACCCGGCGTTGATGATACAATTACGGCGGACGACGGTGATGGCACGCTCTTTCTACAGACCGGCTAAGAAAGGGGGTACAATACCTATATAAGCTTGAATGAAGATGCTCCCAGCTATTCACTCTCACCTTTCTCACAAGCGTGCGCACGACGCGAATCTTCCGGTCGAATCGCGAGGGAAGATCGACCTCGTCTTCTCCGTCTCTCGCCGAAAGGATTTTCTTCGTACGAGGTGAGTCTTTTCGCAATTCGATTCCTCGCGCGTTTTTCGTTCGCCCGGCATGCTCCCGTGCCTAAAAAATCGAAAGATCCCCGTACAGGCGTGAACCGAAGATCGCGGTCCCCCGCGGCGAGGTGCATCGGGCATCGGAAGACAAAAAGTAACCGGGAGAAAGCGATGTCGCTGAATATTTCGCGTTTACCGTGCAATTTCAAGACAAACGCGACCCTCGGTACACGCGAGTCTCGCTCGAGGCGGAGTTTCGATTTTCCTCCAGCCATTCGAAATTTGTTCGCCGTTCCTCGTCGACCTTTCACAGAAATTCGCGCGTTGTCGATCGTTCGCCATAATTGAAACAGAGACCCCGTCGAATTCGAGTTTCTCCGATTTTCGCGTAATCCACGAACATCGAACGAGAAGTTTCCATTCGGGAATCCCGATTTCGGAGATCTGACGGTCGCTCGCATCGCCGTAAACAAGTAAGTACAACAAACTCCGCCTCGTGACGCGCAACGTTCGCGGTAGGCGTTTCATAACGCGCGTCATTTTTAATACGCTAATCGGCGGTGCTCGCAAGTTGGCAAACTACAAAGTGGAGAAAGCGATCGGTCGCACGGTTGCGTTAATCTTCCTCCGAAAGAGCGATCGCGATTGACGCGTGGCAAGGTCTCAACGATGTTACGCTCGCCCACGGTATAACCAATAGAATTGCTCTGAGAATTCGCGGTAAAAGTAACATCAAAGTGAGCAGCCGCGGATGATGACATTCCGTTTCGGTGGCCGCGTCCCAAACGATTCTCGCTATCGTTGCGTTCCCAGTCCTTTGTTATCTCAAACGATTCGAAACCCAAACTTCGAATTCCAAATTTCAAATTCCGAATTCAATGTTCAAATTCGAAATCGTTGGTACACGTTATTCGCACGATTCCGCGGCAATTCAACGAACGAATTCGAACGGCGGACACCGCGAAAGCGTCCGCGGCTCCGACGATCGCGAAGGAGATAGACGCGGCGACTCTTTTCGGAGATCGTGCCTCGAAGAAAGCGGGCAAATAGACGCTTCTTTACGCTCGGAAGAGGAACGATGCCACTCGTGAGTCCCGCGACCGGCGCAGCGACGCGGCCGCCGTATACACACGCGGCTTTCGAATTGCCCGCTTTCCTCGAGCGTGAACTTACGTTCAAGGTCGCCGAGTAACGTTCGAATCGTTCGAGCGACATTGCACCGCCGACTGGAGAACCGTGGATACGGATAGACGTGGCTAACGACCGTTAGTGCCTCGGCCGGCCGTTGGTCGGTCAATTAAAATTAGTGGCGCAACACTTCGGCTGGAAAAATTTCAAGTCCTCGATGTCGCAAACCTCGTCGAACCTCGCCTGAGGGGTTCGGTCATTTTCGAACGTTACGTCTTAGAAGACACGACGCAGCTCGCGTCCGCCGAGCAAACAGCTACGAGCGCGAGATGAGAGAGTCGAGATTTTTTGATTAATGGACGGGAGTCGAGGCCGACGCGCGTTGGCTAACATCGAGCGGGACGCAACCGGTCGAGCTTAGGGATGAGATCGTTCGAAATTTCGTCGGTCGATCGTTCCCTTTGCATTCCTATTATTTCGCTCTTCTGTTTCTTCGAATGCTGTCGGAAGGACAAAGTTCTCGATTATTTTGACCACAAAGTCCTCTATTCGCACGATTCCCGGTGAAACGATTTCCCAAGCCACGCCGCGTACAATGAAACGGATAGGCGATTTCGTCCTTGAGCTAACTTAACACTGAACGCACCGCGACCGGGCGGAAGACCGGTTCTCAAATTTGATTAAATACTCTTTTCGTTTCGTCCACCTAACTTTGCATCGATTCCTGTTTCGCCCGTTTGAGTTTCTCAATGTTCGTCTGTCCTATTTCTATTCCCATTACGAAAAACCGATCATCTAATTCGTTTTCGCGATTATCTCGGAAACTACATCTTTCCGCTGACAACACATAATAAAAAAAGTCGTTCAAAATCATGCCCCAAATAATATACTTCTGTATCATCGAAATCGGAGAGAACTGAGCAGACCGACAACTTCACCTTGTTTCGTAATCAATTATTTGGCTCGTTACCTTAGAAGCAGGTCTGCGCAAAGCGTCGGTATGTTTAGTGTTAAGTCACTCGGAATGGCAAAATCTCCCGACCAATGAACAACTTGATTCCGCGAACGTGGGACAGCGAAGCTCCCTCGCGGACCGCCTTAACGAATTACGACACACTGTTTAAACGTTGTCGCAATTCGTCGAGGAAATGATCGGATCCCCGAGTCCTCGGAGGAAAGCGAGCCGGTGCATCGAATGGACGGGACGAAGAGGAACCGTACGGGTCGCCGCGGGTCTTCCTAGTACGCGAGCTCGGCTTTCCACGCGCTGACAAATTGCCCGTACCTTCAATGTCCGCGCCGCTCTCTATAGAAACGGCCGGTGGAAGGTTGGATTGGATGCTTTCGCCCCGCGACGACTGCGACGCCGAAGATGCGTTTTCCGCAGTCGAGCTCTATAAAGAACGCATTTCAAGGTAGACTCCAAACCCTCCGAACCTCGTCGATCTTGCGAGAAGCTCTCGCTTCGAGAGTATCCTGATAATATGAGCGTTCTTCGCGTCGCGAGTCGTACTTGCAAGTAATTCGTCCTTCTAACTATCCCTTTCGTTATTTTTCCTCTTCGTCTTCCACGTCGAATTGTTAACGATTGAAATTCCGATGAAACCGAAGCGGCTAGAAACCATGTTCGATTTCGAACCTCCGCCGTCGTACCAAGCAGCCTCACTGTCGCCGCGTTCCAGCTGACATTGCAAAGTAGAAACCGCGAGCAACTAGTCGCAGACTTTTCTCGGGTTCGACGGGTAAGGCGATCGATGTCCCCCTAACCCAGACCTATCGAACGTAACAGTTTTCACTGGCAGATCTTCTCCGGCGACCATATTTAGAGCTCGTTCCCGATTAGCTTGATTATCGGCACCGAGGTAACTCCGTTAGCGCTGTTGACCAAATGCTTTACGATCTTCCTTTTTAACCTTCCATTTCACGATCTTACCGCTTTCGAACACGATTCGGCGCCTCTGTCGTTCGAGAGAGGTGATTCTACCGACGCGTAGAAATAATTCGTCGGAAGAAGACGGAGCCCCGCCTCGAACGGTTGACGCGTTAAAGCGCGCGGGCCGAGGCACGCTTCCCTGGTCGCTTATTACGCAATCGGGATAATAAACGACTAGCGTAGCGTCTCGTTGTTCAAGACGCCGTGTTCGGTCGGAACGTCGCCACGCCACGGCACAACACGCCGTTGTAACGCGACATCGAATGAAACCGCAGCGTCACAAGTGCATGCTACGATTGCCTAATGCCGCTACCGCAAACAGCTACCTTGCGCGAAACTCTTTGCAAACTTGACGAATCTCCTACGATAATTGCGCGGTCGGTTTTTGTTGTCTCTTTTTCGAGGGTGTCCCCTCCAGCGGCGAGGGCCGACGTAATACACGTCCTACGGTGTCCCCGTGTCTGGAAATATCGTCCGCTGCTCATTCATCGACCGGATTCGCGACTCAATGGCGCCGTCAATTTTAATCGCGGCCCGTATCAGCCACGCTCGGCCGAAACGAAGTTTGCGTTTTAAAAGTGAAAGGTCGATCAAATTGTCCATTACACCGGTAATAGAGACGCGAAGGAGACCTCGGGGAGCGTCGGAACCGATGAGCATGCACAATATCCGCTATTACACGGCCCTCCGCGTTCGGAATATCTTTTTTTGAGAACGGCACCCCGAAGTGTCGCCTCATCGTAGCTTCCGACGGATTCCGATCGAGCGAGCATCGAAAATTCTCCGTCGGAATTCATGCGTAGATCCCAGCAAAAGAGAAAAAGACGCCACGTCCTCGGAGCGGAAAAATCAATGATGACCGCGATTTTCCCGCGATCGGTTAGCTCGTCGTTTTCGTAAATGTCGTGGCACTCGACGCTCGTTTGACGCAACGCGCGAACTTTCACATATTTTCGTCCGTGCGATTCGATTCCCGCAATTTCGTTTTCATTCTTGTTCGAGTTAGACGGCTGATCGTCGCAATCTCTTCGTCCCGGCGCATCGTTTAACGAACTCGCACGATCCTAATTAATTCGGAATCCTATTTGCGCGAGTCGGTGGAGATCCCCTCCCATGCGTTTCCCAAGCTTGTTGCATTTTAATGAATCCGACGTGCGACCGCGGGACGATGCAACGCGTCCACTGGCTCCGAGCCGAGGCGCGCTCGGTATTCCCTCGCGGAACGATCGTTTCAACGACGATCGAACGCGCGATTTCCGCCCGAATTCCCTTTATCCGGCTTCGCGATCGGAATATCCAGGTTCATAAGAATACATCGCGGCGTCGTGGCATCGCGCGCGAAGGCGGGAGGCTGTCGCGACTTTCACCTTTCACCTCGGCCGAGCACGATTCCTCGGTTGACTTCTCGAACTTTTGCCCGGACGCTGCCGCGAGCTGCGATCCGCGAGACGCGATCCGCGCGGATCCTTCCTAAGGAAGAAGCGAGCCGATCGAAGCACCGTCACGATTCAGTTTCACCGGCGACTGCCTTCGATACAATCGAGTCCGTGTCTCGATGGAAAGCGTCCGGATCTAGCGAGATACGTGGCTCGTAACTTCACCTTCGTCGAAAGCGACAGTGGTTAGAGTTCTCCCGGCGAAAACAAACTACAGCGAGTTCGACGGAGAACCATGTCCGCGGCTGAGACGCGTCGCGAAACTTTCTACCCGAACGATTCAGGTTCACGGAGAAACAACGGATCGGCTGTGTTGGATCGAGACGCTTCGATACTCGGATTCTCGAACTGCGTCGCGATCCAGGCAAAAACGTCGAACGGACAAACGGAAGCTATAAACGGAAGCTATCGACGCGGCGAACACGCCGGCCGCGTTTCGACGGTGTTCGCGCAACCGTCGGCGTCGAAAGGACGCGACGTTAATTGGCTGCGAATCGAGTTGTGTTCGAGAGTTTCGACGGTCCCCGAATTACGAGAGGAATTAGAGACACCGGCTGATTGCGGATCCCCTCGTAATCTGATCTGACGAAACGCTCGGTGATGTACGTGAGAAGAACGAAACAATCGTGGAAACGGCCTTTCCCGGGACCAGAAAACTGTTTAACGATTGCGCTTCTGCGACTCATCGTTAAGCTTTCCGTCGAAATTATGACGAAACGCGCGGCGCGAGACTTTCGCCGATCGCGTCTAACGAATCCCAACTGTTCCGAGCCGAATGACGTTCTGGGGATCCTCGATAGCGCCTGTACGCGGAAGACCCGGAAGACGCGCGAGCCGAAACGCGCTCGACGGTGGACGAGTCGGCCGTGCTTAATTAACCTTTCGTACCGAAGGTAAACGAGCAAATTGCTCGAGACGCTTTCTATTGTTTTCGCGTACTCGGTAGACCCAGTTCGCAGCCTTGAAGCGAGCACGCGATGCGTTCAAGGTTTCCCTCTTCCTGCGCGACCGCTCTTCCCAAACTTTGCTCTACTTGCTCTACCCTATCGAATGACCGTTGCGCGGTGTCCATCGGGTCCTTCGTAAGGTGGATCGATCGAAACACGTTCGAAACGGAGACACGTTGCAGGTAGAAAGGATGAAGGGACCCGCTGCTGTCCTGATGTTAGCCGTCCTGGGCGCAGCCGTGGGCCAGGAGTACGCGGGAGGCCACGCCCTGTTCGTCAGAACTTCGCCGGCAGACGGTAAGAAAAATCTGCGCCGATTCGTCGAGGCTAGTGTGATCGTGGTATCGATCGTAAGAAAACAAACCCGTACGCGAATCAGTTTGACAAAGGAAATCGTTTGAAATTCACTAGCACACTCGAGAGTCCAGCGAGCCGCTCCAACGTCGCCCGCGGACGTGATGGCGCAAAATATCCTAGAGTGGATTCAAGGGATCTACCGGCAGGGCGCACGTAAAAGTACGTTCTCCAAGCGGACTTTCCCCCGTTGAGCTATCCTCCAAGGGCTAAACCAAGGGCACTCTCCGACCATCGCGTTCTCCCTCCTATCGCACATTCGCTAATCCCCGATTAACCTCTTGAGAATCGATCTTCTCGATCGGCGAGAAAGACGATCGTACCCTGATTTTTAGGCGAACGTTCCATCCTCGAAAGGTTCGCTGTAGCAAAGTTGCTTGAACCGATGTAACCCGATTAACAAGATATTTACGCGATTCCGTTCGGATGCACGCTTACCGATCGCGCGGTTTATCAGGATCCACAAGGTTCACTAATCTCGCCCACCGAACTTGTCGCTTAACACAGGAGGCACGATTGTGGAACGACTAAACGTGGACATCGTCGAGTCTCGCGAGTCGATAGGTGGAAACGATGCGTGCAATCGACATCGTTAAAACCGATTTCACTCATTGTCGGACTCGAGATCGATTTTCTTGCAGTTCGCCAGCAGTCGGATCCAGCCGGGTACCTACCGCCTTACAGCACCCAAAGGCCACCGGAGAGACCCAGACCTTTCCAGTCGGCAACGGGCGGTCAACAGCCTAGCTACTCGTCCCCTGCTCAAAACGAGGTAACGAATTACCCTTACCAGAGGCCGTCCACCGTGCAAGCTCCACCGTATACCAGCCAGAGGCCCACGTATCTACCTCCGAACAATCAGTCGCCGTACGGGCCGTCCACCTCTTACAACCCGCGACCGACACCCTCGTCCTACTCGAACTCCGGCTCTTCCGCTTTCCCGCCGTTCAGCACGACGAGAACCTCGACGACCTACTTGCCACCGTCCACCGGCTATCCGAGCACAAGCCCTAGGTCACCCTCCCCCGCGCAGACCGCTGGAGTCTCAACGAGCTACGGTTACTCGACGCCCGGCGGATTTTCATCCACGTACAGCTACACGACTCAAAGAGCCAGCCCCGCTTACGGGCCATCCGGTTCCGCGGATGGAAGCGCGGCTAGCGGCGCTGGGGTCTCGATCGCTGGATACCCTGGTGCCAGTGGGTTCACCACTTACGGATACCCGACCGACAATCCGAGACCTCCTTTCCCGACCCCCGGCACCGGGGCCAACTCGTACGACCAGGGCACAGCGGCTGGCTACCCTTCTTCTCCTGGCTTTCCGTCCTCGACACCCGGCGGAGCGTTCCCGCCGACGGATTACACGGGCGGCACTAGCGGTAGCGGTAACGTTAACGTTAAACCACCTAACCGAGAAGGTGAGCAATTCTACGCCTACCCTCGAACCAGCAGGCTTCGAACGGTTCTTCGCGAACTGCCCGACCACAGTTTAACACGTTGGATGCTATGTCACCGATCTCAACCGAATCGAATTACTATAATTTATTCAATTAAATGATTATTTGGAAACCTTTCTGTATTACTAGTAATACTAACTGATGTAGCGACATTCGACAAGATAAACCTGCAACGATAACGCATTTCAATTACATGATTTGATATTAGATTATTGTCATTTTGTATATTTTTCTTGGCAAATTCGTGGGGCACTCAACGTGTTGATTGTTGAGATAAAACGACTGATCATCTCGTACCTGGCGTAGGAACGAGCGGCACCGGTGTCACCACGGGAACAGGAACAACCCCCGATGATGACGATCTGAAACATCCCCCGCACATTCACGCTCTCGACGTCGAATGCAGCAAAACTATGATGACCATTAACATCGAATTCAATCGGGCCTTCGACGGAATCATCTATTCCAAGGTAACCGCTTCGCCGCGACGTAGATTCGGGATGGAGTAGACGCGAAAGGAAAGTGGAAAGAAATAAAGTGTAAACTGATCGAAACGAGGATGTTCGCAGGGATACTACGCGACCCCGGAGTGTAGGTACGTGGCGCAGAATTCAGGACAGACGAAATACTCGTTCACGGTGAATCTAGACTCCTGCGGTACGCAATTCATCAATGACTTCGCCGGGGACGCTGGCCAAGCGTATCTCGAGAACGTGCTGGTTCTGCAGGTAACGACGTATTGATATTAACCATCATCTCGATTGATGAACGAAACGAAGACTCCATTAACATCGCTGTTCTCGGTTTAGAACGAGCCTGGCATACAGGAAGTCTGGGACACCGTGAGGCGCGTCCGATGTCTTTGGGAAGGAAACATCAATAAAGCGCTGACCGTCAACTTTTCCGTAGACATGCTGAATCAAGAGATCGTCACGTTCAGCGGTGACACGGCGGTCGCTAAGTTGGACATACAGGTCGGAAGAGGTCCGTTCGCGACTGCGGCCGACGGTCTCGTGAAAATCGGGGAGACCATGACTCTGGTCGTGTCGGTCGAAGGAGATCCCGCTTTCGATCTACAAGTACGCGTAGAGATTTACAAGTATCCACACACGCATCATAGGTGTGTCATTCACCGAGCAACCAATACTAAACGGAACTAATACTAAACAGGTTCGCGACTGTATCGCGCGCGACGAGTCATCCGCTAACGTGCTGCAATTGACGGACGAAAGGGGCTGCATACTGAAACCGAAGCTTTTCGGAGCGTTCCAAAAGACGAATGACACCGGGAACACTGGAGCTTCGATCATCGCGTACGCGTACTTCCAAGCCTTCAAGTTCCCCGATGTGATGGATTTGTTCATCGAATGCAACGTGGAACTGTGCAAGACCGACTGCGAACCCTGTCCGGATGCGAATCAGGTAACAAACTCATCGGCACGGTTGTAAGATGAATTTCGGAAGATGCGTATTCACCTCGCCGAACAACGCCAATTGTCACCCCCGTTTTCTATCTTTTTAGCAAATCGAACCAGGTAGACGGCGTCGTCGATCGGTGAGTCCAGCGGTGCCGAGCAGACCTTCGAACACTTCGGCGGTGCTTCTCTCGGATCCAGTACGAGTCGCTCGGGGATTCCGAGTGATCATGGTAGACGATCTGAGCGAACCCAGTAATCAACCGATGGAACAGCTCGAACATATCGATCACCTCGAGCACATCGAATACACCGGTGTCGAACAGAACCCAGCTACGACGAACGTTTGCATGACTTACAGCGGATTCTTCGTCGCGACCTCGTTCATGACGAGCACCGTCGTCGCAACGACGATCAGCGCGCTCGTCTTCTACATTAAACTGCAACGAGTTTACAGATCGAAGTGTATAAACTCGTAAACGCTGAACGCAACGTTTTGCAATCGACGAACGTCGTGGTAGCAACGGACGAATCATCGTACCTGCAGTTCAAATCGATGGTGTGGCCATGTTTCATTGAAAATCGAGTATGTACCCTCGCGAATTTTCTGACAGGAACGTGCCCGCTCTTTTACCCTTCCAAGCTACGAGAATTATCTGAATGGATGACACTCGTGGATTACGTTCCACGTAGAGAACTTCCGTTTTCCGAGGAACAAGAACTTCGAAGCTCCGCTTGCTACCCTCACGACGCATTTCGCGTGTTTGCAACATTTTTATTATAATCTTGACAATACTTACTCGTCTGTACAGCCATATTTCACGTATCGATCTACAAGATAACGAACTTGACGCATTTGACAGCGGTCGGAAAAGTTTTCCCTTTGGCGTAAATGTCGCGAACCGACGGTCACAGTGTAACCTTTTGAACGTAAAGCGACGACAAAACTGTAGATTGTAGAGAGATATTTGTTAAGTGAATTCAGAATAAATTATATTTCTTAAAACGTTACGCTTTATTGTTGTCCCCGCGCTCCTTTATCGTACAGGTTGAGACTACCATCGTTCACAGCTACTAAATGAATTGATGTCACAGACGGGGGACAAGACAGATCAGGGATGTCGAACCGCGAGCTCCGTAATGATCGAGTCACTAGCATGAGCGGAGCATATGACTAGCGAACAATTCGACACCTCTGGGGTAGATCATTCCATAGAAATGTTTGTCACGCGATTCAGAGCAGCGTCGAATCATAACGAGTGATACTGATCAATCGGAAACGACAGCGAGCACCGACGAGTCATGATCGTGTTTGCACTTATCATTAGTAAAACTATAAAAATGCAACAATCCCTTTCAATCTCTCTTATTAATTACAACATAGAAGATACGTATCGACAGAAAGGCGCGTGACTTGGTCGCATCTATTTACATTTGTCAGGCGTATCGTACACGTAAGGATCCTGAATTTTAAACATCTTTTATGGATTTAAACCTATTGGTATTTAAGCAACATCGACGAAAAAATACTAGGAAATTACTGCCTGCATAGGCAGATTTTGATAGTTACCGCAGTGAACTCAGTAAAGAAAATACACGAGTAAGATGCATACGTATAGCTACACAACTTTTCTAAACCGTAAAATATACAAATGCTCTCCCCTAATCTTCCTTTCCGCCACTATCTCACCCTTCATATTTAAATCCTTAAAAATACGCAAAATATCTTCAGGATCGTTTTCTTTAATAACCAATAGATAGAATGTCCCTCTATCTGATAGAATATCGGGAATTTTAGGGAACACACGATCCATAACTTTTCTACCATTTGTACCACCAGCCCAACTCTTAAACAAAAGCCTGTCCTCTAAAATTTCCTCGTCGCTTGTTACGACGTACGGCGGATTAAATACCACAACATCAAAAATACAATTGCCGCGCATACTATTCAACAAATCCATTCGCACAACATCTATATCTACCGAATTCAGTCTACCAGTTCTCTTTGTAACTTTACAAGCATCGCTATTTATGTCGATCGCAAGGTGGAACGGCTGACAATACTTGTTCAACGCCATTGCCAAGGCAGTAATCACAATACCAGAGCCACTACCAATTTCTAAACACATCACAGGTTTCATAACTTTTAAGTTCTCCAAATCTGCTTCCAATGCGTCTATTAAGAGAAAAGAATCCTCCGAGGGTTCATAAACCGTTTCTGTATCGATGCTTGACAATTTAGTTATCGGAGTATACATGATAGATCCGTTAGAAGTAACTTTCAGGCTAAAATAATGAAATGGTCGTATCACAAATATTTTGTAAATGCTCGTACCGTTAACTATTCTTGTTCCGTAGACATAGCAGTCTCCTTTTCTGGTTCAGACCGTTCTTCCTTATCCGATATGTTTGTAGCATTACCATATGACGTACTATGATCCAACAAGGCTTTTCTTTTCACCGTGTTCTTCTCTACAGCCTGATGAATCTTGTTCAACCGTTCTTGTGTACTTTGCAATATATTACTGACAATTGTTATCTTATGCTTAGCATTTATCAGCTTCTTCACATAGGAATCTGTTTCCAATGGACACTGCAACGCTTCATTAATCCTTTGCAATTCTTCTGCCAAAGACTCGATTTGCTGCTTCAGTTCTATTTGACATATTCTGTACAAAACAAGCAAATCGAATTACAAATTATTGCAATACAAAACTGAAATAATTTGAAGTTTCAATAAACTGATCTCAACGCGTGAAAACACCGAACGCAGATTTATTTGATACGCGTATCATGACCTGAAAAGAAAGGTTGCTTACCTTGTAGCACGTATTCTTTCATCCAATTGATCCACCGTAGGTTTCAGAAGGCTCATTAAACCTTCGGTCAAAGCATCTCTGGTCGGATTCTCGCAAAAATCGTCTATTTTGTCATCTATCGACGTATTATCACTAGCAGTATCCACATCCATCTTAATGCTCCTTCCTATCATCCGGTTTCTCCGTATTATTTAGGGGGCACCACTCATCGCCGAAAACTCATATCTTGAAATTGGTTGTAGAGGAGGAATTCAACACTTACGATAACGATGATATAAAAATAATACAGTCACCACAAACTTAAGACGCAAACCTAATGATTCGGATTATTATTTACGCCTTACGCTCTCTAGGACTGTTTCTACAGTACCATTTTGATGCAGTGCTCGATGTTACTACGTATCTGACACAGACTTAAGCAGACTTAAGGTATGTACAGATTGTGCGTACATTTTTCTGTCTCTACTGTTCTGAAATACCGACACTGTCAAAACTGCCCAGATGCACTAGCGCACTCTACCTGAATCGAACGGTCAATTACTGAACTATATAAGTCTGCAACATGAAAAATGTGTGCCTAGGAAGATAATTTTTACAGTGTTCCCGACATTAAAATTTACATCGTGTCGAGTCTGGAGAGTTACTTAAATACTACTTCCATCGTTTAAAAGTACACGCGTTATACATTTATTGCTGCTAAATTATATGACACACTTGTAGCAACAATGAAGTATACAGCTAACCCCATTCCTGTTAACAAATCTAAAGATCTGTATTATCAGTAACGTCAAAAACATGACATCGAAATGGTACGGAGGTTTTGAGACACTTGAAGTTCTATATGAAAATTTCCAAAAACTGCAACGTCTGTAAGTACGTATCTTAACCCTTTGATTTGACCTAAGAAAATTATAAAATTTAAAATTCAGTATTGAATTTTTATATAATGCATCAACACATGGAACATCGAAATAAAATAGTTCTGTCACTCAATTTATGCAAGGTATTTCTTTATGCTAGCTGTAGAAAATATCATTGACATTTCATCAGAAAATGAATGTTTGTTGAGAAAAATATTTTCGAGGGTTAAGGGTTAAGTTTACGGCTGTGTATCTGAAGTCTGTGATGTTAACGACGTGAAACTACATTACCATCTTTGCGTCATCTACTATGTTATCCACCGCGTTCAGAAATGGATCGTAGCTCTAAACGGTAACTATCGGAACTATAGACACAGACTTAGGATAGATTAGGATTCTGAAGTAGCGACATCGTCAAATGCACCCTAATGCACTTTCTACTTTTATGAAACAATCAGCTGATGAAGTACATTGTACTATAACTACACTACAATGAT